AAAAAACTGGAGATGAAGAGAAGTGAAGACAAATTGGAGAAGAGCTAATCATCTCAAATTACACTGCAGGGAGTTAACAAAAGCTTTCTGAAATTAAAATACAGAGCAAATGTATCCAGATTCTTCTTAATGGTCTTTATAATATTTTATTCCCATAAAGAAAATTTTTATTTTATATTGTTGTGGTAAAGAAATATTTTTGTTCAGCAGATTTCTAATTCATTTCAGATTATTTTTCTCCTATTTAATTATGTATAATATGTTAATTACAAATAGCACGGTTGAATCTCTATTCTTGATTCTTTTATTTGTGCAGATATATAATTATATAACTATGTTGATATTCACTAAGTGTTAACTGTTTTTCCCCCCCCAAGTGTAAATATTTTGGAGTGATCTGTGTTTTTAAAACTTTAATACAGATATTACTGTAAAATCATAAATTTTATCTACATCAAACATCTAAATATAAAATGATAATGATAAAAATGATTATGGAAGGCTAGAGTTATCTATTTATATGAATTGATTTGTATGGGAGCAAGAAATCTGAATAATGGAGGTTTGCGATGACACCTAAAAGAGACAGGAAAGGATATTAGCATGTTGTGAAATCAGTAAGATATTTGCTGTGCAATACTGGCCCCATGACTTTTGACTGAACTCTATAAAGAATAATTGAGCACACAAGGTACAAACTTGGTTGTAACCAAGAACAGAGTCAGCTTCATAGCTTTGAAGCCAAGTGAAATGGATATGAAGGTGAACTCAGAACCTTACTCACGCCTCTCCTAACACTGGAGTCCTCAGGACTCCAGAATTTGCTGTGGAATTATTAAATTTAGAATCATCTGGTAGTAGTTTCTCTGGTACAATCAGAGAATCAATTTGTCATGCAGGATGCTGGGATTGGTGGCGGTGATGAGGACCACCTCAACTGAGGGTATTTGAACAGAAAAAAAAGTAAATAAAAGAAAATACAAAAGGGCTCTCATCCTGTCTCAGATGAAGTTTGATAATACTTTAAAAAGTGTTGAAAAATTGCATGATGCAAAGTTTACTTAAGAATCAGTGAAATATATGTAGTTTAACCACTTTATTACCTTTACTACTACGTAACCTTGAAAAACATACTCCAACTAATTTTTTTTTTTAAGTTTGGGGTTTTCTTATTTTAATTTACTAACATTTCTAAGATTTTGCTCTAGTATTAGAACATGTACCTTGAAAACTGATGCAGAAAGTTATTATCATCATCATTTATGTAAGGTAGCCTAAATTTCACATCCTTTGTACTTTTCTTGTTTGAAGAAAATATATATTTAATTTTCACAATGGTCTATGAGTAATTCTTTCCTGAAAATAATGGCATTAATTCTGATAGATGCATTGAAGTCAAAGATATTTCCAGAATAAACTATAATGTGCTTTTTTTGTGTGTAATTTTTGGTGGACTACTTAAGGTTAGTTTTTAAAAAACATAAAATGAGAGTAAATTGCTATGAATAATAATAGAACTTCAAATATCTATAAATACTTGATGTGCATGGTGGTGAGGGGTGAAGTCAGTTAGCTTGCAGAGTAGGTCCAGCTCATAGTTTATTAGGTTAGGTGACTAGATGTATGTTTATGGACAACTGCATTTTCTGAGTAATAGAAATATCTTTACTATTTTTTCCATGTATAGAACCAAATACCTGAATAATGGGAATAATTTTGAGTAAGAAAGTTCTGTATGTCAGAGCAGAATACTAACAAAATATAAAGAAGGCAACCGACTAGCTTTAATGGAAGGGAAGCACATAAACACATATAAATCAAAATGGCTTTACTCAGTAGTATTTTTCTCAACTTAATTTCCTCTTTTAAAGTGCCTCTTGAATATAATAGATTTTCTTACTTCAGCACTACAGGAACTTTGGAATTTTATCATAAGAAATGTTAAAACACAAAGATGTATGAAAAGACTGAAATGTGTAACTGAATTTTTAAATTAAAAATTTCATTTCTACTTTTATTACTAAAATTTGTGTTTCTTCTTTTTTACTAAATTGTATTTTATCATAGCGATGTGTGGTATAGTAAGGACTAACTACGCACGTAGGCTGCAGGCAGGGGAAGTTTGAGCCTCCAACTGGCCCTCACTTCCCCTGGTACATGACCAGGTATTCTTTGTGCTGTTAAGTGCTCCCCTTTCCCTCTCCTAGCAGTGCCCAGCGACTGTTGGCCCCTCCCTTTTGCTAATATGGTTAATATTCAGGTCCTACTTACGAAATTCAGGTCCCACATGCGACATTCAGTTCTTTGTTTCTGTGATAGATCACTAAGTAGACTAAGTAGGATGGTCTCCAACTCCATCAATTTCCTGTGAAGTCCATGATTTTGTTTTTCTTTATGGCTGTGTGATACTCTATTGTGTATATATACCATATTTTCTTTATCCAGTCCATTTTCAATGGGCAGTAGTGTGGGTTCCATGTTTTTGCTATTGTGAAGAGTGCAGCTATAAACATGCATGTATAGGTGTCCTTTTTTATAGAACAATTTATGTTCCTTCAGGTATAGTTTAGGAGAAGAATTGCTGAATCATATGGGAGGTCAATTCTTAGTTATTTTAGGAATCTCCACACTGCTTTCCATAGAGGTTGAACTAGCTTGCACTCCCACCAACAGTGCAGAGTTCCCTTTTCTCTGTACCCATGCCAGCATCTGTTGATTTTTTTGATTTATTAATGATGGTCATCCTTACTGGAGTTGGGTAGTAACTCACTGTAGCTTTGATTTGCATTTCTCTGATGATTAGTGAGGCTGAGCATTTTTTCCTGTATCTGTTGACTGTTTGCGTGTCTTCTTTGGAATTTTTGTTCTTTCTTAACCCAAGAGTTAAGAAACTCACAAACTCACCTTATTAAAGAGAAAACTAAGGCTCAGATAAATTGTGGCTGGCTTCTTCAAAGGGAAGAAGTATATGACATAGAATAAATGACTGCCTGCATTCATGGACAAAGGAATTGCAATAAAGGAACTATTGGCAAAATATATTTTTTCTCTTTATTTTAAATATTTGTTTTAGTAGTGTATATGTAGAGAAATTTTCCTAGGAGTAAATGAGTCCCTTTCTATTTCTGTTCTCACATCAAATATCCTTTCTGACTACTGATGTGCCCACCTTCCTGTTCTTTACCATGCTTTCAAGTTACTGGGTAAGTAATAATAAAAAAGAGGAGACACGGGAAGGACAAGCAACAAGGCTGGGATGTGGAAGGAACATATAGCCTTCACTTTATACAATAAATTTTGGAAATGTTGTGAACTTGGTCTTAGCTTTGCTGGGGTGAAGGTTAGGAAACTCAATGACAACTACTTCACGCTTTAATTCTATATGGTTAATAGACTCTGTCTTAATTGGTCAATAGGTGGAATCACACACATCCCTGTTTCTCAGGAGAATCCTAGTTTATAGCTGTTTTTATACTCTCAAAAATGTTCTAGCTGAGAAGATAAATTCTATGACCTGTCTGTTGAGAGAGTTTCATAATCCTTCAAATGTGTCCCGGGAAGCCACGAAAGATTGCTCTAAATGGCTTTAGAGATAAACCATCTTTGGTTATCAATAGGATGCAATTTCAAAGAAGTTTCGACCCATGATTACTCTCTTCTTCTTCCTATGTTAAGCAGTTTTATGGTTTGCATGTATAGATTTCATTCTTTAAAATATTAAACTGTTTAATAGTGCCAAGCACAAGAAGAATTCAGGAAATAACTGAAAAATGGTGACTTCCAGTCAAGAAAAGTCACTGACGTATGTAAACTTTCTATCTTTTCAGTTTTCATAAAAACAAAAGAAAGCAGAAGCACCAAAAAAAACCCTTTTCATTTGATGTTTAATAATTTTTAAAAATTTAATCATGCAAGATTAGGTGTTCATACATCTGTCTATTGTGTTACTTTTTTGACCAAAATCCAGAAAGTGAAGTAGTAGAAAAATAAAATTTTCAGTAACAGAGTATAGCCAATATAGTATATTAGTAAAGCTCTGTCAGTTCATATATTTAAAAAAACAAATTTAAGTTAATATATTTATCCCAATTAAAAATTTTATGAAAAACTATCCTTTGTTCTGTTTTTCTTTGATATTTAAGGGAAATAGTTTTGAATCAAATTATGGCATATTATACAACCCAACTGGTAATATTTTATAATGGTAATATTAAAACATTATTTTAGTTTAAATATATTTTTATATTTATGAAATAGTTAAAATATTTTTCCAACTTTTGTGTTACAAGATTTTTATTATTTCTATCTTAATGAATTTATCTCCACAAATACACACATATCTAAGGAAAATGTCTACTAGATTTGAAAGTTTCCAGTTACTTCTGAGAAGTAATACACTTAAGCCAAAATGAACAGTGTCTAAGCTACAATCTTAATTGTTAGTATGCTGCTAAGTGGCACACTTAGCACGTGCACACACACACACACACACACAAACACAATCACATATTTGAAGGATAATTATCCTTGTTTGTTTTAAATAATGTACATCCAGGAATAAAATTAATTTCTAAATTAAAATCTTTGCCATCTCTTTTAGAAAATGCATATCCATTTAAGCTGAAGAACTGTATAATATGCTAAATTAAAATCATTAATTCAAGTTGGTGCTTTTTGTAAAAATTACTCATACATATCAAGTGTGCCTTTTGGAATTACTGTAGCTGTGTATTTTAAACATCAAGTGAAAATAGCACATTTTATAAACTATCAAAAGCAATACTGCAGGTTAGCTCAAAATAATTCTCTGACTTGTTTGAAACTAACCTTCTCCACTGTTTTTTCAATTATTTTATTGTTTTGATTTCCACATATAGGTCTTTTGCTTAAGGAAACCAAATACATACTGAAGAGATAAAGGAATTCTATGTTCCTATTTCAAGCTAAAAACATAACCTCGAAATTATCTTTTACAGTAAACCAAAGCCAGTATCACATACCTTTCGGGAATGAATTTCTTTCACATACAATGGAAGTAGAAACTCAGATATACCTTCAAGTCGGATTCCCTTCTTGGTGACTCTCAGATTTCCCATACCATCCTACAAGCAATGAAATATAATTCACTTTTAGGTTAATTAGAGAATGAATATCTGGCCATAATTTTCTTAGGCCTAAATTGAGACAACTGTGAGCTCAAATCAGTGATGATTCAAGGAAAATGAGAGAATTGAATCTACTTAATAAGTGATTGCAGTACTTTGCATGCATATAGAGGGCTCTATTTAAAATAAACAGGAAAAGAGGATTATAGCGGACTGGCATCTTTTCTCAGCTCTATCTGAGACTAGGATTTATCCATGAATAAATCTTTTACTTTCTTCATGCATTACTCAGTTCAACTATTTATTAGGTATAATGATATTTGCCATCTATTAGAGACAACTTTTTTTTACAGAGAGATCTAGTGATATTTTTACATTCTAATTGTACAATCAATGCTGCAATATTCAAATAGTCATATTTGTGCAATAATTTTAACAAGTAATTAATGATTAACTAATATTAGTAAACATGGTGTTCTAGTATTCAAATCATGAGTACATATATGTCTTATCCATTAGAAAACAGTAAGCTATAAGGGGGGTTAAAAAGCATCAAAAATAATTCGTATGAGACATTAAAATAAGTAAACAGAGTGATATTAGGAATTAAAGAAAGAAGATTTCACATCTGGTTAGAGAGTCATTCATTTCTTATTGAAGATATTGACTATGACAAAGACCTTGGGAATGTGGAATTTCAACAGGGAAAGTCCCTGCAGGTGGAACAAAAGAAATACTCTAGTAACATTTAGAAAATAGCAAGCCATCTTATCTGGCTAGTGCATGGGACTCTGCTTTAGAATATTGGGAGAGAAAACAAAAGGGGTTATGTTTTGGGGCCAGAGAATGGAAAACCATGAATGCAAAGCTAGGTACCTAAGTCAGAGTCCAAAACAAGAAACAAAAAAGTTATTAAATAACTCAATGACTTCAAATTATTGGAGTTAAAATTCAAAAAAATGAATCTCACAGAATTACTGGACATGGTTAATTGACAGAGCACTAGCAATAACACATAACTTGGTAGTAATTATAAGGAGTATGGTGGAAGAACAACCTACAAATTTGGTGACTAATTTCATCTGGAGACACTGAAAATAAAAATATTTGAAATTAATCCAAGGTTTTGTAACTAAGAGTAAATAAGGAAATGTAGTGGTTTTTAAAATAGAATAGTAAAATTTGTAGGCTCAATGTCAAAAGTAAATTCAGCTTTTCATTTTCTAACATTAAGTAATCATTGCAAAATTCATATCCTTATCAACCAGCACATCTGTAGTAAAGAATAAGGGAGTGAAAATTGCTTAAGTCATACTTAAATCTGGCGTGGTAGATAAGCAAACCTGATATGGAAAGATAGACATAGAACCAAGGAGAAATTCTTGGACAATGCCTAGGTCTGTGGGTTGAAAAGAGGTTGTTTATTTATTCGGGGAAGTTGTGGTCAGTATAAGAGGAAAACCAAGAGAATGTGATGGCTCCATCTTTTACCCTTTCTCACTCTCCATAAAAGAAAGTCAATGAGGTAGTATAGTATGAAGATATTAGCAACAGGGAATAACTGAGGCAAAACAACTTTTGGAGAAAGAAAGAATAGATAAGATTTTGACTAGGAATTAAAATGTCTTACAGTTTTTTAAAAATCCAACTAAACGAAAATGACTACTAAGCAAGAGGGACATTTTGAGGTGGTAAAGTCTCAATTGTTCCATAGGAGAAAGTAATGAATTTTGACTGAAGTAAATTTGGAATGGGAGTGAAGGAGTTAGTTTCTCAAGAAAAACAAAGAAGCTGAAAGTGAACACGAAAAATATGTTACAGTCAATCAATCCCAAATGAATGAATGAATAAATGAATATATTTTAAACAGAAGTAAAGACTTATTCTGAAGAAAAAAATACACAAATATACTTTTGTTAGAATGATATACTCTGGTTTCTCGGAGACAGGTCTGGTTTACACCAGTTTTATAGCATCCTCTTTCATGTTCAAAAATAAAAAGTGTCTCTGATTTAGACATTAAATTACATGATTGCACATTTACTGACTCTAATTAGTGTGGTTTGGCAATATTACACCTGTCTAAGAACAGAACTAACAGTGAGAGAGATGCAAAACTGAGGACATGCTAGCAGGAATGGCAGAAAGTCATAAGGATGTGTCATTCTAAAGTAGCAGAAAAGGATGTCTGCAAATGGCGGACCATGATTTTTCTTTTTGGCTCATGACAAGTAAAGCCAGAAGCAGTATAGGACTACCAAAAGAGCGGGGAGTCAAAGAATGGCAAATGTTGATAAACTAATGATCAAGTTCAGTAGAAGTTAAGAAATATAAGAAATGTTAAGACAAGTTTATTGTCAGAAAATGGAATTTTGGATTTTTAGATCTTGAAGGTGAGAGAATTTTCAGACATAATGAGACCTAAAAAACATCCCAATCAGTCCTGGCAGAGGTAAAATAGAGAGAATTCTCTGGAATTCAAGAACCCAAGAATATTAATTTGAACTTATAATGTGACATGAGGCTTAAAAATTTTTGTCTTGAATAAGTTTTCTTGACTAAATCTCACATATCAAATTTTATCATCATTACAGTTGTGATGTATTTGCTCATTGTCTAGTAGTCCACATGCTGCTGTTACTTGAATGTCACCTCTAAAATTTAGGAGTTGAAAGTTAATGGCAGTGTGATAATATTAAGAGCTGGGGTTCTTTCCTTATAAGTGGGACTAAGGCCCTTATAAAATAGGTAAAAGAAATTTCACACAATATTTAGACCTCTTGGATTTCTGCCTTCTGTCTGGTAAGGACAAGATGACCCTCCCCTCCAGATGATGCAGCAATAAAGTGCTATCTTAGAAACAAAGAGCAACCTTCACCAGAAAGCAGAATCTGTTGGTAACTTAATGCTGGACTTCTCAGACTCTAGATATGTAAGAAAATATTTTTTGTTCTTTCTAAATTGCCCAGTCTCAAGCACTTCGTTACAGTAGCAAAAAAACGTACCACTGTACACAATATACTTAAATTTTGACTGACCATACAAAATCATTTTAGAAGGGAAGGTGGAATCAGGTAGCTTGAACTTGAAACTTGAATTTACTGTTTACTAACTGATGACTTTAATAGGTTGTTTATCTAAAACCAATTGCATTTCCAGAAAACATCAGAAATATAACAATACTCTCAAGCATGTTTCAATGATATAATGAGACAATGTATAAATGGATTAGTACTGAACCTGGTATATTTTACACAATTATTCATTTTACTTGTGGCTTATTGAAAATTAATATTTTAATAGCAAAATTAATTGTTCTTTAATTAACGCATTTTAAAAAATCAAGTTGTCTTATTTTAATTTCATCTTTTTCATTCCCAATGACATTGTGACATTTCAGGACTACTATATAGCCAACCTGGCAATTGCCACTTATCCTCTGTTTGCATTGTTATCTTATTGTATTAGTACTTATTTTTGCTCAAGAACTCATAAGTACACCTTAGCCTCTGGATATCACTTTATGTCCTTAATTTTGAATATTTAGTGTGCTTTCTGAATAATCCATTGTGATTATCGTTTTCATGTTTATGTGAAATATTATAAGACAATCTCTTCCACTATGGCCAAATCCTCTCCTTTAGAATGAGTTTCAATTTTATTTAACTATCTCACACAATCCTTTGTTTTTTTAGATTTTTTAAAGATTTTATTCTTTATCATCCACCTTATACTTCCACTAAACTGGACTGGCAGTATTTTATTTAAGAACATCTGTTTTGCCAACTAAGTTTCTTTTTTTCTTTTTTTTCTTTTTTTTTTTTTTTGAGTTGGAGTCTCACTCGGTCGCCCAGCCTCCCGGCCACCGCAGCCTCGCCTGCTGGGCTCCGGCGATCCTTCCGCCTCAGCCTTCCGAGTCGCCGGAATTACAGGCATGTGCAACCACGCCCGGCTGATTTTTTATTATTATTATTTATTGTAGAGATGAGGTCTTGCTGCCCAGGCGGGTCTCGAACCCGCGGGCTCAGGCAATCCACTCACCTCAGCCTCCCAAAGGCGCGGGATTACAGGCTGAGCCACCGAGCCCGGCTGTCAAGTAAATTTCTGTATCCAAGCATTTTACTGGCTTGAACTGGTCTTCATTCTCATTTTCTTTTGATACTCATACTCATTATTCAAGACCTCGTCCAAAAAAAGGCCACTGCTAATATCCTAGTCAGAAATACACTTTTCTCTCTATTCCATACTTCCAAAACACTATATTTGTATTTCTTTTGAAGTTTATTATATTCTTACTCTAATTTTAATTAACTGTATATACATTTTGTCTTTTTTAAAAGTTTATGATTAATTTTATTGATCAATACACGAATCCCTTCTTCTTGTATAATCCTTCTAACAGTGGATTTTATAAAGTATGTGGTTAATAAATGCTTGATTATGGAATTAGTCAGTAAAATTTAGCTCTTTACTTAAAACGAACAAAAGAAGAAATTAAATTAGTACCCTTTTAAGAATGACAGTTACTAAAATTTATAGGATTTGACTTTAAAAACTACAAATGCTCTGAATCATAATTTTCATGCGTTTTATCTTTTAGACAAGGTGGAGGATATTTTGCTGATAAATAGTTTTTTGGAATTTATTGTGAGAGACTGACTTAAAAATAAATCATTGGTATGAATGCCAACAAAAATAATATTAACAGCCATGTCATCTTAAATTTAAAATCCACACGCAGAACTTTGAAATGATCTGACTGTAATTCATTCTGTGCTCAAAGTTCTTAATGACTTTGGGCCACCTGGTATTAGAGGAAACTCAAATGTTATCTGTCTCTAAGATTTAAGATCATCTTTAATAGAGAAACGTTATTCATTATCAGAATAATGAACATGTTGGCAGGGAATTAAGAAAAATAATTTTTAAATAGATGCATCTATCAAAAATATAGAAAATCTGATGTATGATTCATTATTAAAAATTCTTCAATACAA